TGTTTTTGTTACTATTTCTCTGTAGTATAGTTTAAGGTCTGGTATAGTGATGACACCTGCCTCACTCTTATTGCTTTAGCTATTCTGGGTCTTTTAGTTTTCCAGATGAATTTCATGATTGCTTTTTCTGTTTATGAGGAGTATCATTGGAATTTTGATTGGTGTTGCATTGAATCTGTGTAGTGCTTTTGGCAGTATGATCATTTTGACAATATTAATTCTGCCTATCCAAGAACAAGGTATATTTTTCCATTTCTAAGGTCTTTCTTTAATTTTTCTTTAGCATTTTGTAGTTTTCCTTGTAGAAGTCTTTCACCTCTTTCATTAAGTTGATTCCCAAGTATTTTTTTTTTGAGGCTATTGTAAATGAGGAAGTTTTCCTCATTTCCTTTTCAGTGTGTGAAGCATGGTGCCAGAGGATTTGTCACTGACGTACAGAAATACCTTTGACTTATGGGTATTGATTTTATAAACTGATACTTTGCTGAATTCATTTACCAGTTCTAGAAAATTTCTGGTGGAATTCTTTGGTTCTTCTAGATATAGAATCATATCATCGGTAAATAGTGTTATCCGTATCCCTTTAATTTCTTTCATCTGTCTAATTGCTCTGGGCAGTGTTTCAAGAACTATGTTAAACAGAAGTGGTGAAAGAGGGCATTCCTGTCTTGTTTCAGTTTTCAGAGGGAATGCTTTCAATTTTTCTCCATTTAGAATGATGTTGTCCTGGGGCTTAGCACAGATAGCTTTTATGATGTTGAGATATGTTTTGTTGTCCCTAGTTTTTCTAGTGTTTTGAACATGAAGGGGTGCTGTATGATGTCAAATGCTTTTTCTGCATCTATTGAGATGATCATATGATTCTTATCTTTAAGTCTACTGATGTGATGAATTACAATTACTGATTTCCCTATGTTGAACCATCCTTGCATCCCTGGGTTGCAAGATTGTGGTGCACTATCATTTTGATATGTGTTTGTATTCAATTTGCTAGAATTTTATTGAGAATTTTTGCATCTATGTTCATTAGAGATATTGGTCTGAATTTTTGTTTCTTTGATGTGTTTTTGCCTGGTTTTGGAATCAGGATGATATTGGCCTCACACAATGAGTTTGGAAGTGCTCCTTTTTTTATTTCATAAAATAATTTGAAGAATATTGGTATTACTTGAATAATTTTTATACCTTATGGAGACAACCATATTTTAGACCCAGGGAGAAGATTTGGGGGCAGATATAGTGTTGGAACTGCCAGAAATGGATTTAAAAGCTTGTTTATTTATTTCAATGTGAGAGAATAGTTAGAAAAATACAGGATGTTTCTAAGAATGTCCCATTTATTTGAGTTTAGAGAATACTGGAAGGAAAATCCAAACCAGCTCTGAAAGATGTTATTTTAATTCAAATAGTTGGTTGGCATTGTAATGTGGGCAACTCAGTTCCAAGACAATTTTAGGAACAAAAAATTAAACACTGAAGAGTCCCCATAGACAAGAAATACACATGGGAGGCACAAACAAACCAATAATGTGTGATGTGTATTGGCATCCCAGGACTTACGACAGAAAGAGGAGAACATCACCCAGCATGGAGCTGCTCCACAGGTGAGATGGTACTGGGGAGAACCGGTCTGGCTGCTGTCAATAGAGGTGGCCAGGTGGTCCAAGGACCAGTGTCTAAACTCTCTGTAAACATAATCATGGTCCAAACAACTGTTGGTGGCATGAGGTCCCTTCCAGTGTGTGAAGCATGTTGCCAAAGGATCTCAGCAGTGGTCCAACTTGGAAGTCAAACAGATGTGGTCAGAATCTTGAGACTGGCCCTCATAAAGCATCATTACTGCCAGCTGTTGGAGAGATGCTCTATGTTTCAACTCTGTCTTTTTTTTTTTTTTTTTTTTTTTTTTTTTTTTTTTGTGGGTGGGGGGTACTAGGGATTGAACTCAGGGCAAGGTTGCTGAGGCTGGCTTTGATCACTCGATGATCCTCCTGCCTCAGCCTCCAGAGCTTCTGGGATCACAGGCAGGTGCCACAACACCTGTTTCAATTCTGTCTTATTAGCCATTTTATCCCCAGTGTCTAACACAATTCCCTCTACATGAGTTCACAATAAGTACTTAAATGAATGAATGAATGAACTAAAAGAGAGAGAAGTCATGGTAGGCTCAAGTTCATGGGCTAGAACTTCAGTTAACAACTAAGATTCAGAGCTCTGGTTTTAGAGAAGAGCTAATATTTGGTTTAGGGTAACCAGGCCCCTTTCGAGTGGGCAGAGCCAAGAGGGCAGCGAAAAGTACTGCAATGATTCAGAGTACCCAAAGTCCCAGGGAAGGTTATGCATCCAAGATTTCTGAGTCAGTCATTATTTAGCCATAATGACAAGGACTCCTGTATATGGAAGATATTAGACATAGATTCCTAGACCCACAACTGAAAATTGTTAATGATATCCTACCTCTGAAAAGATGACCACAATGTGACCTAAAAATATCAATAGATCTACTCACAGGAAATTAGGAAAAGAAAGATGAAGATTGATAAACCAAGAGAAATAACAGAGAATTACAATTGTTACCTTTACCTAATTAGGCTGATGTATTCAAAAGCTAAAACATATGAGAATAAAACTTAAAACATGGTCAAATGGTTTGGAGATCTATCATCAAACAATCGTCAATGATGAGATGACACTATTTGACATCCTAACGTCACCACCTATGTCTGGTTAGCCAGGTGTCTGACCCTCAGTTCCCACATCCACAAAATGGCCTGATATGTGGAAAGTGGCCAGCACGGGGCTCACCTACAGTGGACTCACGAAATGGTGCCCCCTGTAAATGTGGCACCAGGACAGAGACTTCAGGGAAAAATCAGATGGTCCACTGTCTGGAGGGAATGTGTCACTCCTCTTGTCTTGTCCATTCCCTTCCCCACCAGCACACATTCACCTTCTCAAACACACACACACACACCAGGAGATTCTACTAACCTTCAAAAGGGCCCTCAAGCCACGTGCCTCTGAGCAGGTGTGTTGTATATGAATCATTAACAGTTGTACATCCATGTGTGTAGTCTAACTCCAAAATTAGGCCCAAGACATTGAGGACCATACACTGTTATTTCCCAACTTTTGTTGAGAACCTCTCAAAAAACCCATTTTTTTTTCTCTAACTGCATTCAGATTCTTAATGCTGGCTGCACATTAGAATCACCTGGACCCCTTCAAAAAAGGTTTACCTCCAGACCAATTAAATTAGAAACTCCTAGGAACACAGCTCAAGCTTGGGTGTTTTTCCAAAGGTTCTCAGGGGATTCTGAGGTGCCACTCAAGTGTAGTGACCTGTGGAACTGCAGCACTGGCATTATTTAGGAGCATATTTGATGTGGACTCACAGGACCCACCTCTGACAATCAGAATCAGATCTGAACCAGAATCTGCATTTAAATGAGACCTCAGGATAATTCACAATCACGTCAGTTTGAGAAGCAATGGTTAGTAGGTATCAGTGACTCTCAACTCAGCTACACAATGTAATCATCTAGAGGACTTTGGGGGTTTGGGGTAGGGAGTATTTTTTTTAAATCCTCTGGACATTTTTTTTAATATGTTGATGGACCTTTATTTTATTCATTTATTGATATGTGGTGCTGAGAATCGAACCCAGTGCCTCACACATGCTAGGCAAGCACTCTACCACTGAGCCACAACCCCAGCCCAGGGAGTATTTTTTAATGAAGCTTATGTGTGGGTGCTGCCCCCTTAGATTTGCATTTAGTTGGTCTGAAGTGAACCCAGCATCAGGATCTTGAAAACTCAGCCCTAGATTTGTTGACTTTCTTTGAATCCAACCAGGCCTGAGAACCATAATGCTACATAGGCAGTTCCCCAGGATAGATCCAGTTCATAGCAAGGAATGCCTCCATGAGGGGTGCTAGGAAAGATGAGGCCTAACCACATTCCTCTGTCCCCGATGTCACCTCAGAACTGACCCAAGGAACATCTAATTCTAGCAACATGTTTAAGAAATGCCCATTTCATGTCTCTTTCATAAACATAAGTAATGTGTATTTTCCATTTTCCTCCTTTTATAATGGTAGTTATTGACTAGCTCCCTTTGTATACAAACAATAAACCCGAATATGCTGCTGTTAGGGAAATGACTTTGGTTTACTCAGTGGTAAATAGGGTATTGAATTCTAAATATTTAATAATAATAATAGGTAATGAATTCTAAATATTTAAAAACGCTAAGGCAAATGTGGAGATGCTACAGGGTAGAATACACATTTCTTGTGAATTCTAAGGAAAAAACATAATACTTCAAAGATATTTTGTGCTTTTAGTGGGCACTTCAGGTTCCGGTCCAGATCTCATAGTGGAATAAACTTACTCTCCTTCTGTCCTTGGACAAGTTAAGGGAAAAGTTTGAGGAGCTCTGAACCAATGGGATTATTTGAAATGTGACACTCTAACTTGACTTGGTTTCAAATCCTCAGCAGTTGGAGCATCTTGGCTTATCTCAAATGCTAGAAATACTGTAGCATTTGTCACTTCAATCCCAGCCAAGGGTCAAATGCTGTATCACACCTAGTAACTAAAATAAATTCTAAAAGCTGTTTTTGTGGTTGACTTAACTTTATTCACATGATCGCTGGAGAGATTGACAAAGACTTCCTCTAACATTTCTTCTGGAGGGTTGAATTAGAGTTTGGTTGCAGACAGTGTGGGTTGGAGGGATGTGCAGTGAGACAGATCAGGGGCTTGTTATAATTCTACATCATCATGAATCCCGTTTAATTTTAACCTTGAGGCTTGTCTGACACATTTTCAGTAAGAGCTGGGGAATAAATCTAACACTCACTGGCAAGCACTTGGCAGCCTGCGAGAGCAGCATCTTAGAGAAAACAATCAATCCTAGTGCTGGGGCATGTCAGGCATTGTTTGTGCAGATCAGAGGTGCCATGGGGTGTCCAGAATGGCCTCCCATGACAGTGACAGCAGTGGGACCTCAGGGTATGCAGCAGGCAGCTCCAGAGCATCTCAGTCAGTCCCAGGAGTGAGGCATGGCCTCTCAGTATTGATAGGACCTCACAAGGAGCCACATGAGGAGGACTGTAATCAGGACAATGGTGAAGTTGAGAAACAGCTCCCGGGTGGATAGCTCCATCCTCAGAGTGGCTGGATGAGACCTTCAGGTAGACTTCTGGGGGCACAGCAAGACCTCTGGCTTGTCCTCACCTCCTAACAGAAAGTGACAAAGAAAACATTGGGAGGTGAACAAGTGTTCCTGGAAGATGATGCTTATTCTTTTCCAAAGGAAATAGAAGTATTGTGGGAAAGGAGGTGGTTTGGGGCTGAACTGTGTCTTCCTCTAATTTCGTATGTTGAGATCCTAACCCCCAGTACCCAAGAATGTGATTGCATTTGGGTCTTTTGAAAGGTAATTGAGTTAAAATAAGGTCATTAATGTAATCCCTAATCCAATATGACTGGTGTCCTTATATGAAGAGGGGATTTGGACAGACTCATACAGAGGGGAGACGATGTGAAAACACAGGAAAATGAACATCACCAAGCCAAAAAGAGTAGTATCAGAAGAAACCAACCCTGCCGACTGTCTGATTTCTAACATGTAGCCTCAGATTCTTTGACTAGAACCATCACTCTTCTCTAGGTCTCCAGCCTGCAAGCCTATCCTGAAGATTTTGGATTTATCAGCTTGCACAACCACAGGAGCCAATTCCTTAAACACACACACACACACACATACAGTTGTTTCTCTGAAGAACTCTAATACAGAGAGCCTGGTTTCTCTGCCCACTGTGATAAACACCAATACTTTTGTTCTGATTTTCTTCTTGGATGATTGTATTGGTGCTTTCAATAAAATATAAAATATTACATTTTTCTCTCTTCAATTTCTGCGGGTGTATGCATGTATTCACTTTGCTAACTGAATATCACTAAGTAGGAGCATCAAAACAGAAAAAAAAAGTTACAATTTAGTATTGTTCTTGTTTTGGGTAACATTTAGATGTGGGATATCATAATCCTTCAGGTTTCAGGCTGCTATAGGTCTTTATCTAACCCTGATGAAAGCACAAAGTAGTTCCAACAGCTGCATGGTTTTTGTATAAGCCTACACTGGGCACAAAGCCTACCGGGGTCAAACAAAAGTCCCTCAGATAACGGTACTCAGTCCAAGAAGCAAGTGTTAACTTAATGGGTATTCCTATTTCAACAAATGCTTGTGCCAGCTATTTTTAGTTAGGCCCAGGATGTGCCTAAATTGTAAACATTTCAAAGAGCAGGGATGGTATCTTCAGAGTGTGTACAGATTGTACCTGCAGGAAATCAAACTTGAAGAACATACACAATACAGTCAATCAAACTATTAGCTTCAGTGATATATTATAATTGGCTTTTGTTTTGCAATATAAATAAAATATAAGATTTCTTTTTAAAAATTTTTTTTAGTTGTAGATGGACACACAGTATCTTTTATTTTATTTTTATGTGGTGCTGAATATCAAACCCAGTGCCTCACACATGCAAGGCAAGCACTTTACCACTGTGCTACAGCCCCAGCCCAATAAAATAGAAGATTTATATGTTAAATAATTTTATGTAGATACATATATTTTAGATATCTTGGACCAAATTCTACTACAGAATGAAAAAGTTTAGGCAGAAAGGACATTCTATTTGCTAAGGATGGGAGTGCAAGGGACAGAGAGGTTTGTTAGCAAGGTTTTGACCTGAATGGTATTTTTAACCATCTAACCTGACTCAATTATTAATGATATTTATTATATCATCAATAGACCAAATTATTAGCTGTGTAAATTTCAGCTGAATAATCAAATTTTAAATTATGTTAATATGACATATAGGTTCAAACCAGATTATTTCAACCAGTAGACTGTTGAGTTGGGGTTTAAAATGGCCAATAATGGTGAATCTATGTTTAATTTCCTATTTAATTTTTATCCATCTTTTGACCTTCAGCATGAAGGAAATAGTAATTTGCCAATGAAAAACTTTACAAAGATTTGCTTGGAAAGGAAAGTAAACAGAAGATTCATGGGTAAAGAAATAACAGAGAATATATAAGAATGCACATAAGAGCAGAGGGGAGCAGGAAGGGAATGAATCCAGCCAAGGAGGCTGGAGGCAAAGGAATGAGAATCAAAGACAGACTCTTCCTTATGAACTTACTAATTGAAATCAAACCCTGATCCAAATGCCTACTTTGGGATTAAGTTCTCAAGAAGTGCAGAGATACAGCCAGGTATAATGGTGTGTGGCTATAATCCAAGCAACTCAGGAGGCTGAGGCAGCAGGCTAACAAGTTCAAGGAGGAGCACAAGTTCAAGGCCAGCCTCAGCAACATAGGGAAACCCTCAGCAACTTGGCAAAACCTTGTCTCAAAATAAATAAATAGGACTGGGATGTGACTCAGTGGTAAAGCACCCCTTACACCCCCCCCCCAAAAGAGAGAGAGAGAGAGAGAGAAGAAAGGTGGGCAGGGGGAAGAAGCAGAAATTATGAAACCCTATTTATAATGATCAAAACAATCCAATCTAGAGAAAGCAAAATAACTTTCCCATCAAATCTGCTTATTAGATTAAGCTATTATATAAGGGAATTATGGATAGAGATCCAACAGGAATATACTTGGATAATGAGAAAGATGCTATTAAAAGCAGTTCCAACAGCTCTGTTCGTGTTACCTGTACACTAGGGCAAGTATTATTGTGATTTTTGTCTTTGCCAAAATTACAGCTGAGAAAATGACTTTTAGAGAGAAGTTGCTTGTGTAATGACTCTCAGAAAGTAGGAAGCAGAGCTAAAAGTGGGAGACTAGAATTAGTTATCAGAACTGTGATCACTCCACCAACGTATTACAAGAACAAATTATTATTGCAATTAACTGCCATGGCTAAACAAAGTTAGTATGAATTTTCGACCACTATGGAAAATAATTTGACATTTTAAAAATTAAAGTGTAAAAGGCTTTCTTCCTAATATCTAACAATTTCCCTTCTACCCCCAGATGCTCAAGCACACACGTGCTGAGGTACAAACACAAGAATGTTCACTACATTGTTCACAAGAACCCAAACAGGATACATCTCCCATGTTCATCAGCAGTACAGTGGTGCATATATTTGAATGCTACAGAGTAAAGAAAGTACAGGAACTACTACAGTTGCACACAACAGGATAAATGGATCTCACAAGCATGATTGTTGAACAAAAAAAGAATTTACAAAGGGAACATAGAATATGACTCCATTTAGACAAAATCAGAAATAGGGAATTTAAAATATTGTATAGGAATACAGACATGGTAAAACTTTAAAGAAAAGCAGGGACAAGACAATCTTAACATTTTAGGAGCAGAAGAGGGGTGATCAGGATTGGACTTCTTGGGTGCTGGCAAAAACGTGTTTCTTGATGAAACTTATAATTATTGTTTAAACTGCATATGTTTATGGACTCCACAAGTTTTTTTTCAATTTTCTCTGAATTGACAGGTTACCAGGTTACCCATCACACTTCTGTGTCTACTGTGGTTCACCTCTTACAATTTATTGCACTTCAATGGCTTCTTTAAATATTTATTGTTTTGTGTATTTTTAAATGAACAAAACATAAAGAATTAAAGTGAGAATTTTCAAGGAACCCAATCCAATCAATGTCTGTGCTGAATGTAAGGTGTAGACTTTTTTTTCACCCTTTAAGAAGAACAGACCAAAGTTAGAAATTCAGATCAGCAGTGTTTTATTTTTCTGCTGTTAATACACCAAACACCTTTGACTTCACTCTAAACCTTCCCTAGCATCAAGTTCATGTCTTGTGATCTGAAGTGATTGTCATATAGATGAGCCAAACACCAAAAGGCTATGAATAGATTGTACAAGAAGCTTGGCATTGGCTTTCTTTCATTAGAAACTTTGAGAAGATGGAAGATAAACTTTCTTCCATGATATGAAAAAAAGAAAATGCACACCAAAGAAAAGCAAGAATCAATAATATTCACTTTACATTTTAAGAAATACCATGTACAAGGAGCGTCATCTATTTTTGAGATATAGAAGCTCTCCTCTGTCTCCCTCATTAGTAATTTGTGCACACAAACACACATCATCTGCTGAGCAGGAAATCCTGTTCAGGGTTACCTGAAGAGGGTCTAGGACACGCCCTGGCTGAGTAGACTTCTCCTTGTTCTCTCCCACTCAGGCCCCAACTCCTGTTCCTCTCCCAGGCTGTCTGGACTCCCCGACTCTGGGCAGGGCCTAAAGTAGTCTGAGGGAGGTGGCACTCACTATGACGTCAGTGATGAAACATCTCAAAGGAACACCCTCGGAAGGTCTGAGGCTATTTGTGTTCAGGGGGACATGGAAATGTGTTGACTAAGACCTTATTCCTTTGGTTACCAATTTGTATTAACCCCACAGTGACCTTTTAGTGTAATTTATGTGGATTTTAAATTTATCTTTTACATCTTTATGAATATCTCTAGCATGTCTTTAAAACATCATAAACCAAAAGCAATAAGCTAATTTTAACCAATCAATGCTGCATTTGGCTCTTCTCCCCACTCAGCACGTGAAGGTGTGGAAATGTGACTTCATTTCACCACCCACATCTTTATCTATCTGACATGTGAAGAGGTCTCTGTCTTGCACCCACACCGCCAGTCTCCCCCACACACAAGAATTCCATAGGCACTCCTTGAAAACTGACTTCAATTCCGGCAGTGAAAGTCCTCCCCCGTCACCTGCTACACATAACTTCCCAGCTAAGCCGGGCGCTCCAAGTTTACACATTCATCTACAGTTTCATCTGAAACAGCTGAGAAAGCCCTGGTTTGAATATCTCTGTCAGTACACTAACATAGGAGTGAAATCAGACAGCAAGACCCAGTCATTGGGGTAGATTGGGGGTCGAAGAGGAGCTGGTCAAGATAGTAAAGACATGATATGTAAACTCTAATAGAGATACATAGAATATATCTGAAAGAAATAAAATATGTAATTTTCAAATATAACCCCTAACTGAATAAAATGAGTTTGCAATCAACAAATCAGATGTTTGAAAGTAAATGGAATCTCTGAAACATTTAACTGGACTTGAAATGAGATTAATTTAACCCTTTAACCATGACTCCAGATATGGAGTTTCTCTATAGATAAAAGAACAAATCTCCCCTCTGAATTCCCAACTAG